TCCCTCAGTAACCAGAATACACTCTGGCATGGTAGCCGAATGGTTTATTGTGTTAGGTCATCAGAATGGCAAACAAAACAGATAGGCAGAGCACAGCTCATAAATCACACGCTCGAGAGCTCAGCTGCCCATTATTGGCCACCATACAGCCCTTGATAGGATAATGATAATGATAGGCACTGACAATAATAATCCTAATTAGTGTTTTATAACCTAATAGTTGCTTCGTTATCTTAATGGACAGGCTTGGCTTTCGGTCTGTTCTTGGGGTGCATCATCACCATCGCGATCCGGGTTATTCTGCTAGCTGGCGGTTTTTGTCTGTCGATGAAATATGACGGTAATTGGTGGCTATCAATGAACTCGTGGGTAGAAGCGTATGTTGGCGTATTGTGTAACTAAAGAGTGAATGTGCATCTTGGAGGAAATTGCTGCCACTTTGGCGAACAGGTATTGTGTGCGTCTGTGTGAACAGGTGACTCATGACCTCCTTTCATATTTAGCTTGAAACGGTGTTGTGCAGCATAAAATCAGGTACTGCCGCAGGATATGACAACAACTTGACCGAGTTCCTGAAGCACATATGCCCAAAGGCGAAGACATGACTCGTAACCTTGTACACGCGGATCATACAGGAGCAGAGGATGCCATGAGCATGGCGCCAGGCAAAAATAATTGCATCCCAAAGCCCGGTAAGGATCCAAACAGTGCGGCTAGCTACCGCCCAAGTTCCTTGCTCTCTGTGTTTTAAGCTTCTGGAGTGCCTGATCCTGCAGCAAATCAGTCCAGAACTGAAGAACAACATCACAGTTGAGCAGGCAGGTTTCAGACAAGGATGCAGTACCTGACAACATTAATCGAGAATGGGTACCAGGCAAACATGAAATCTGGAACAGTTTTCCTTGACTTGACGGCACGGTCTGACATGCAGGCCTGTTGTTGAAGATATCCAGAGTGATGCTACGCTGGGTAGTAGAAATTATTGAACTTTTCCTCCACGATAGACGAGTTTGAGTGCACATGGGAGAAAAATGCAGCTCTTGGAGAAGACAAACGAATGGACTTACCGCAGGGTTCAGTCCTATCTCCAAGCCTCTTCAACACCTACATCAACAATCTGCCAGTGACACAGCCACGCAAATTCATCTATGCCGATGATATTTGCCTTGGAACCCAAAGTCACCGAGGCAGAGAGAGTAAAAACCAAAGACATGGAGATGATGGCAGAGTACCTCAGTAGATTGTGACTACAACCAAGCGCAACCAACACCGTCTCCAGTGTTTTTAATCTGCACAACGCGAAAGCATGACCCGAATCCGGTTTACCTAGGCGTGACCTTGGACAGATCGGTGACGTACCATGAACACCTGAAGAATACTAGATTTGAAGCTTTCGTGACTGCAAGGATTCATACCATTAGTTTTTTCGGTAAAGTCACGTAAGTAAAAAAATGAAATTAAAATTAATAAAAATAAAATAATAAAAATCACGACGTTTCGGAGGCAACACAAGTCTCCGTCATCAGGCGGGACCGTCACAGCCAGATTTGCTGTATCAAGTGAGGCAGGGATTCCAAGATGCAAGTTCTTAAATACAAGTTAAGGGGGAGGGGGGGGGGGAGCTTATCAGAATGTGGTAGCCAATGAATGGAACGTATTTGGGGGGGCGGGGCTAAAAGAGGTGTACATAGACGTCGACGTGGACGCACTTAAGCGATGTTGTCCCCACCTGAAGGACGCTTTTATTGCACCCAAAACGTCGTGATTTAATGTAGTTGTTTTCATTTATTTTGTTTGATTTTTGTGACTTTACCGAAAAAAGCAAAGCGTATAAGTCGCAGACGTTGTTCCTTTTAGAGGCAACACTTTTTTTGTAACACCGTAACACAAAAGGGTAACTGCCCCTTTGCCAGACTACAGCGAGTTACTCCTACGAAGGGTCGATCCCTCACTCAGGTCTCTGACCACGTGGTTGCCTCGTCAAACAAAGAGTTTCAGCTTGAGACGTAGAGCTTCCCGCTTGTAGATGTTGAGCTTCCAGCTTGTAAAATGCAGCGACCCCGGTCCCTCTTAGGGACCCGCCTTATATCCCTCTCCGGTCGGAGCCGCTCTGCCCTCGGCCCCGCCCGCCTTCCCGAACATTCTCATTATCTCTCGATCCTTCTCAAGAGCTCTCTCTGGACACGTGATCACCCCCAAACCCCCCACCTGGGGCCCCCTGTATGGACATTCTGGATCACGTGTCTACGGGGTCAACCAGAGTGCCATGGCCCGGGGCAACCCTGCCCCTGGGCTGACACTCACCCCATCTCCCTCGTGGGAGCCCCCACCACACGCTGTGCGCGGTGCCCGCACTATCCCAGTGCTCGCCAAGCCCCGCTAGGGCTGGTGTTACACACAGCCACCCACACGGTGCTGTCCCCGCTAGGGCTGGTGTTACACACAGCCACCCACACGGTGCTGTCCCCCCTAGGGCTGGTGTTACACACAGCCACCCACACGGTGCTGTCCCCCCTAGGGCTGGTGTTACACACAGCCACCCACACGGTGCTGTCCCCCCTAGGGCTGGTGTTACACACAGCCACCCACACGGTGCTGTCCCCCCTAGGGCTGGTGTTACACACAGCCACCCACACGGTGCTGTCCCCGCTAGGGCTGGTGTCACACACAGCCACCCACACGGTGCTGTCCCCGCTAGGGCTGGTGTCACACACAGCCACCCACACGGTGCTGTCCCCGCTAGGGCTGGTGTCACACACAGCCACCCACACGGTGCTGTCCCCGCTAGAGCTGGTGTCACACACAGCCACCCACACGGTGCTGTCCCCGCTAGGGCTGGTGTCACACACAGCCACCCACACGGTGCTGTCCCCGCTAGGGCTGGTGTCACACACAGCCACCCACACGGTGCTGTCCCCACTAGGGCTGGTGTCACACACAGCCACCCACACGGTGCTGTCCCCACTAGGGCTGGTGTCACACACAGCCACCCACACGGTGCTGTCCCCACTAGGGCTGGTGTTACACACAGCCACCCACACGGTGCTGTCCCCACTAGGGCTGGTGTTACACACAGCCACCCACACGGTGCTGTCCCCACTAGGGCTGGTGTTACACACAGCCACCCACACGGCGCTGTCCCCCCTAGGGCTGGTGTTACACACAGCCACCCACACGGTGCTGTCCACGATGTAGGGACATCGAACGGCACAACCCTTCCAGGCCGGCACCATACAGTCACATCCTCGATACCATTACAAATGTAAAATGTGTACAAATTATATGCAAGTTGTTTGATTATGGCATGAAAAGGCATTCATCCAACAGTTAATAAATCATAGATGCTAGTGATATTGTAAATGGGGTGAAGAATAACGTAAAAACAGCAGAAATAAACTGAGAAGCAATGCTCACGAGGTGCAACAAATTTGGACAATATTTTTTATTCAAATCACAACCCCGAATCGCGATAATTCAATGGAATTGCTGGAAGGTGGGAGGGGGTCAACTGTTCGATGTCTCATCTTTACCTCCTATTTGGCTGCTATGCGTGTGTCCAGAATAAGCGAGGGGATCGCGTCTGCTCCTCATGCAAGTAATTTACTTCCACAATTACTGCTGAATTCTTATAGTTGCAGATTGTAAACAATAAACAAGAACAGGATTGCTGTATACTGAATTAGCCACAGCCAATGGTAGAAGTTATTTCTCATTGTTTAGTCACCACCACTTCACCTTACTATAGTTGTTTTGTCTCACCTTCCTCTTCCTAACTCCTTTCACTATGCAATCTGCCACAACTAGTCGATGTTGTCACACACTGTCCAGGGATTACTTTGCAGTTCTTCACTCCTTTCAGGTGCTTCCTCCTCACCAAAATGAAATCTATCTGGCTCTTCGCCTCTCCACTCTGGTAGGTCATCTTCCTGCTTCTGGAAGTAGGTTTTCACCACTGGAAGATCATTTGCCTGGGCCATTCGAAGAATGTCCTCTCGTCCCGCATTCCTACTGCCATATCCGTATCCTCCATGGTTCCTTCATATCCGTCCTTACCTCTTCCTACTCTTCCATTTAAGTCTGTGCCCATTACCACTGCTTCATCTACCGGTCAGCTCTGAAACTCCTAGTCTAAGTTCTCCCAAAATGAATCCTTCTCTTTCCGACTGCAGCCCATCTGCGGGGCATATGCACACACCACAATTACAACCCCACTGTCCAGTACTAGTCTGACTATGATCAGGCTGTCATTCACTCTTCTGACTTTCACCACCTTTTTGTTAATCTCCTCACTCAGCACAACTCCAACTCCATTACGCCTTGGTGTGGTTCCATTGTATAACAATTTAAAGCCACAGCCAATCTCTTTCACTTTTATGCCTTTCCATTTTGTTTCCCGGATGCAATGCGGTCGACTTTCCTTCTTTTCAAGGAGTCCACTAATTCCTGACCTTTTCCTGTCATTGTTCTAATATTCCATGTGGCTAACCTTATCTTCCTCTCGAACAACCTTCTGCTCTTTCCATTTTGTTTCTCCATATGTGCAGACAGCGTAACTACCACCGCCCGGGTCTACACTCCCTGTAGCGACAGAGTCATTGAGTCCCGAGATTCTTTGCACCCTCTGCCCACTGATGGGCTGCGGGGGACTGAGGGCCATTTGTTTGCAAGGACTTTCCATGTTTTGGCTTTAGGGGTTTTACGGCCGGTTGCCACCAGACACCAACCCTCCTCCTTTTATCCTGGCTTGGGACAGGCAGAAACACATTTTTGAGCGTAATCAGAGGCGCGTTGAAACAAAAGTGTTGTAAGTGTGGCACGCCCGAGATGAGTTCAACGAGCGCTGCCCATGGTGCTAGTGGGGTGATTTTTGTGAATGGTACTTCCTTCGTTAGTGTTATTCGTAGAATGTTTAGGGTGAGCACTGTCCGTGGTGCTGTTCAGGTGATCGTTCTGTACGTGGATATTTGCTTGTGCGCCTGTCTGCTTGCGCCGACACTCACCGAGGATTGCAAGCACTGTGCCGTCCTTGAGCACCTCCATGGAGCCCGAGCAGCACGAAGCAGAAGGCCTGCAGCGCGTCGCCCTGCCGCATGAGGTACTCGCCCGGCGCACAGAACGTCGTTTTCACGTTGAGCGAGAGCGAGCGCAGGCACCCGCGGCTTCGCCGCCTCAAACAGCGGCAGCTGTAGCATCTCCTTGTTGAGGTGCATCGTCACATCGGCCCGCAGCTCATCCGGGAAGTCCTTCAAAAGCTGATCAAATCAAATTGTGAGCGCATTTGACATTCACCCCATTTTTACAGCACTGTTAGGAAGGAACTCTGTTTTACATAGACTGCAGTAGTTTCACAGGAAGAGGGAAAATTGGTATGTCATTCCAATTAAGAAATTTGCAGGTAATTTTTCTAATTTTAACCATGAAGCCGGCACAAAAGAACCTACTCTTACGAATGAAATCACTGGATCTTTAATACCCATTCTGAAGCAAGCGGCGCATATTTTTGTACGGTTAATGCATCTGCAGTATTAACCAAATGTCCGGGGATTGAGGGGGCATCACAACAGGCAGCAGCACTCTTAAGATTAAAGTCAATTTTGTACAATGCAGGACCATGATGGATGGCAGCGTCTTAGAGAGGCCTTCATCCAACAGTGAATAGATAATTGATGACGATATCGATTTTTTAAAATACATATGCCCCAAATTGTGCGTGTGAGAGTTTATTATTTTCGATTTTTATACGTATTCTCTATTAAATTAAACCGCACGGCATCTGCAGCCACAGAGGCGCTGCAATGCACCACGACGCAATAAAAATGAAATAACAAAAATGCCTCAGTCGATTGCCAAATAAAATCGGGAACTGGAATTTTGATAATTCATGGAATCGCAAGAATGGCAACATTGTTAAATCATTATATAACCACTTTTTAGTACGTGGCGTGCCTTGGTGATCTCCCATGTGGAGACCCACGGAGCAGTGGGAAACTAAAACAATCATCCACGTGCAAACTGGCGCGGTGGCGGGTGTGCTTACCCTATGTCCTGGTTGCACTGCGTATATTGCTACAACCACCTTTGATGTTGTCTTTTGAGCTGTTTAATGTCAGTTTTTTACGACAATAATAAAAGAACACACTGCAAGCATATGCATAACAATGAACGTGGATTTTACCGTGTCTGCCCTTTATTTTTGCTTGCCCCAAGGACGTCCTGTCTGCTGTACATTGTCCTAGTTTTCCTGCACATATTATTACAACCACCTTTGATGTTGTTTCTAAGTATGTAACGTTGTTTTTTTTGACGGAGGCAATAGAAACACACTGGAAATATTAATAATCAATCGTTTGGTCAAAAAAGGAATTGTTGCAATCCTCTTAATGCCTTAAAATGTGCACTTTTAAAACTTACCATTGACCATAACTGTCTATATACCTCTCCACCGTGTTGAAATTTAAAACGTTGCTTATATCATAAGATACAAATTTATTTTAAAAAAATAAGTGTAAAAATAGCCATCCATCTGGAGCTTTGTTGGAACACATGCCTTGCGTCACCTCTAATTATCAATGGGGGATGGAAGAGCCAATTCTTTGTGCTGCTCTTGTGCTGGAAATGTATTTGCAGTGCCACTTTAAATATTATGAAGATTGTTATCTATCGATGTATGGTTGGTAATTAACTCTAACACGTGCAGATTATTTGCTCGCTGCTCAATTACTGCACGAGAACAAAAATAAGAAAGCACAAACCACTAAAGTACAGCTTTGCATGCCATCATGATTATTGTCAGCCGTTATCTATCCACTGCTGGATGATGCCCTCTCCAAGCCGTCGCCATCTATGAAGCTCTTGTGATGAATCGATCACTTTTAGGTTCTACACATGAGTTGATTTCATCGCTCCATCTCCGTTGTTGTTGTCCGGTCAGGCGTGCTCCCTCTGGCTACATCATTTCGATGCATTGATGCCATTGTTATGTTCCTAATGGCTGCTGCTAGGAGCTGCTACAGTGACAAATGTTATATAGTCCAGCTCCCTAAGGGGTTCGTTAGTGAAGGACGCTGAGTGGAACCAAAACTATCAGACCTATGTTCTGTCCTGCATTGTCATGAGCAGCGACGTGCCATGGCTATAGATCCGGTGGGCAGTGGTGCGCTCCACTCCAGGTTTTCCAGAATGGAAATCCACACTGTCTACTGCGCAAACAGGTCTAGCGAAAGCTCGGCACCAGCCCTGCTGCATTAAGCATTGTATCTGTGTAATCCTTACATCAATCCACTGTAGATGAAGGTCATTTCACACCCTGTGGGTTATTTGAGCATATTACACCACGCTGGTATATACAGGTTGGTGACGGCAGAGAGCATAGATGTCGGAGCACAGTACAGTACAACAATATATTTTTCTGCACGGCCCTCAGTTGAGGACGTAGCACAGCAGCCGGCGATACCTATCTTATGCACAATGGTCGCCAATCAAAGAACTATCCAGACTTGGCTATGCTTCGCTTCCGTGATCTAGCAATGTCAGCGCTATTCTGGGAGGATTTGGTCACTCTTACTCAAATGCACCTTATGCTCTTCTATTATCCTCTAATTAATCGTTCACCTGCTCATGTCACGTACAATGACAAAACCTAAGGATTTTTCCGACGTAAACCATGAACCACGTCGCGTTTACACAGGAGGCAAAAAAAACCCATGATATATCTCATGGGGGAAAAATAATATCTTATGATACCTGAAGAGGGAAGAACTACATGAATGTGCATTGTTTTGAGCCTGGTATTATCGGACAACTGACAGCAAGTGGGACTTTTAATGTTCTGTAAAGAATTACAGAGGATGATCGTGGGAAAATCAGAACCAGTGGCAACTCTAGAACATGTGTCCCCTTGGGCCTACTTGGTTTTCTGTGTGCAGTGTCCGGCGGAGGGTTTGCCCACCTCGTTGGTGTCAATGCCATTGTTGACGGACCACGTCGTCTGAAAGTACTCGAGCATGCGCTGCTTGAGTGGCTGGGGCAGGCCGTGGATGCGGATAAACTCCTTGAGGTCCTTGGTGCGCGTGAGGTAGAGCGAGCGGCGCGAGTACATCCGCTGGATGATGGCCGTCACGTTCCCAAACACCACGGCGTGCATCAGCGCTGTGTGCGGGCGGATTTTGTGTTTAGCAGCGCCGGGTTTTTTGCAGTGGACACGTTTGGGTAGGTAGAAGAGGACACACAACGGAGGTCTGGTGTGTCCTCGAAATACTGGAGGTTAAATGTAGCTCATATACAGCTTTAATGCGACACGTAGGCTGTCGCGACCAATTTCGCGTAAATGTACGCGATCTAAACCAAAAAGCCTCTTATGGATCACAGAATTACCCTGTATCATATGGTCTTTAATAGAAACACACCTTTATATAAAAATGTTGTCTATATTGGAACATCTTTAAAAGAGTCATCATGGGCTCTTGTTACAGACGGACAGAGCATATGCATTAAATGATGTAAACCTTAAGTTGATTTTGCAAGAGAAACACAATAAGCGATTACAATGAATGCAACATGAAACAGGAACAAATCAAGAACATTCATGAGTTGGGCAGATGAAAGAGCAGCATGCCACACTCTACACAAGCCATTGACAACGTGAGAATCAACAGACTAACGATGAAGGTACCGCAATGTGTGCTTTCCTCGCAAGTAGCAAGCAGGGAGAAAACAAGACAAATGTAAATGTATATAGTGGCTAAATGCAATTACATGGGTGATGATTCAAATGGAGGGGAAGGTGGGCAAAGAGGCGGCAAAACCCAACACACGTCCACCGCAGCATCTCCTTTTCTTCCACATGGCATAATCATTGCGCAACTGCCATCGCAGCATCTCTTCCTCCCCCGAGCAGCAAAGAAACCACCTGACTCCAAAAGTCATGAAACATACCAAAAGTCGAAAATCTTGGTAACCAGCTGCGAAACTAAAGGACCCACCTCCAATGAGCATGGCGCAGATGGAGAAGATCTTTTCGGAGTCGGTGTTGGCCGAGACGTTGCCGAAGCCAACGCTGGTGATGCTGCTGAGCGTGAAGTAGAGAGAGGTGATGTAGGCGCTGCGCAGGGGAGGTCCGCAGTGTGACACGCTGCTGTTGGCCGAGCCGGACGCCTCCAGCCGCTTGCGCAGCTGGTGCAGCCAGCCTGCCGCAACGCACACACAAGCACACGGGTACCCCGTTTGTAGCCTATGTAGACTGTTGGGATGAACCACCTATTCAATGGGGAATGAGGCAGTGGTGAGGTTTTATGGCTGCCACCCCTCCAGGCACGGCGAATAAGGAGGGTTGTGCGGCTGAGCCCTACACCATGAAATGTCCCCTTGGCAGCACCAAAGTTAATTCTGCTTAGTAGTACTGGATATATGCCTCTTTTGGTGGCCTACATAACAGCTCCACAGGCCACCCCATCCACGAGGGACTGAAGCCAGGCATGCACCTGTCTATGGGCCTGGACAGTCTGGGAATTGGCGTCTTGTGTTCGGGTGGCAGGAATTTATTTATACCGAAAACTGGTACAGGTATTGTAAAAATCTTGACTTAAAGCTTTCGTGACTACAGGAATTAATATTCTTTGGGTCTTTCGGTAAAGTCACGTAGATAGGTTCAAAGAAAATAACAAAAAACTACGACGTTTCGATCGCAACACAAGCAGTCGTCATCATGCTATTTTCTTTGAACCTATCTACGTGACTTTACCGAAAGACCCAAAGAATACAAGTATTGTGTTGAACTTTATTACAGTATTCTGCATGGTTATTATAGACCTGACGCAAACTTAAAAATATGTCGAGGTTTGGTCTGTTGGAATGATGGCAACCCTACGTGACAAGCACTATGCCAGGATGTCATTGATGTTTACACCCCACATCACTTGCCACTGATGATTGATATGTATGCATGTTGAACTTCTTTCGCACCATACATTATCCAACCATGCTAATCGGAGGTGCGGGGGAAGGACAACAAACTTAACACTAAAAGCAGTTATAATAAACTCCTTAAAAAAGTAAAAAAAACCACAATGGTTTTATTCACAACTTCGTTTAACTCACGGTCGAGAAGTACGTAAATGATGCGGCGCCTGCTCCCACATCAACGATTACTTGAATTAATTGGTTATTTTATAAATGAATCTTCAATGTACAACTTTTGTTTGTGTGGAGTGAGGGTGCCCGTAACTCGTTTACACTGAGCAGGCGCGCCTGAGACGACACGTGGCGCCTGCTTCTTGGGCGAGGCGATTCGACAGTTTAGGGACCACGGCGTTTTTGATCCTACACAAATATATATAAATAATAAGGCATCCATATAAAATGTCAATTGCTTTAAAGTAGATAATTAATTGATGAATTTATGGCGATTTTGATACAGGCATGCATTGTCACCGGATATGAGTACATGTGCAAAATTTGGAATTGATTGGACAACAGGAAGTAGACTAAATTTTTATTACAAGATTTGACGACGACAAACATAGGAGTCAAGTTAAGTAAAACCGTTGACAAAAAGCAGTTCTAAAGAACGGATAGCCGTGGCTATGAATCAAACACATAGGGTTCATAGCGCATTGCACTAACAACCACTGCCACTGTTACATACACGTGTAAGGACAGTACGGGATGATGTAGGGATAGTACGGGCTCCCCGTGGCCATGGTTACTAATTAACGCAAGGGGAACAGACAGGGTCACGTTAGGGTAATGTGGGACCTAAGTGGTCGCTAATAATGATTGATGCGACAAGCTTTGACAGGGTCGCGTGAGGGGAAGCACAGGACCTAACGGTCGTAAATTGTAATAAGGGCAGACAGACAGGGCCAGGTGCGGTGAGCGAGAGTTCGGGAATAGGGGCGTGGCCGGGTCGTGAGGGGGTTAAGAGCCGGCTTGAACCGGGGCTCTGGGCTGCTGTTGTGGGGGAACTGCCGTCACCGTCGTCACCTTAGAGAGGGTCGTCTTCATCATCCTGGAGTGGGAGCCTTGTAGTCTTGGAAGGCTAGAGTTATGTTGTCTCAGAATATAGTTATCTAAGTTACCCCAGTGTATATAGTCACCCGCGGTTACTCGTAAGTTATCAACAGCCTGCAATGTCCCCGTGCCACAGGCGCCCCCGCACAACAACAGCCTGCAGCGTCCCCGAACAACCACAGCCTGCGGCGGCCCTGAACAACCACAGCCTGCGGCACCCCCCAACAACCACAGCATGCGGCGGCCCCCAACAGACTGGGCAAGTAAATCCTCATGATCCACTCACACAGCGTGCAGTGGGCCTTCATCCAGCAGTGGATTTGAGCACCAAAACAACTCGAGTACTAATGTAATGGATAGAGCACGGCTCTCACTCAGGGCAGCATAGGACAGAGCACGGCTCTCCCTCAAGCCAGCAGTGGAGAGCACGGGGGTCCCTCTGGGCAGCAGTAGACGGAGCACGGTTCTGCTTGACTCTCACTCACCCGTCTACTCTGAGCTGCATGCGATTGTGTGTTAGTGAGTGTGGGTGAGTGAGCCGTGTGTGAGTGGATCGACCGTCTCCGGCACTGTGGCCGTGATGTTGTTGCTTCTCGGGCCTCCGAGGTGCGGGGTGCACCACCACAACATGAAGTGGGCATTTCGCAGTCACGTGACGCACTTCAACCAATCCGGGGGCGTTAATCACAGTCACAGAATGACAGGACAGATCTGGGCTATTATACTGTATGTGTATGAGATTGAACTGATCGAGGATTTAATTTCCATAAAAAAAATACTCGTGGCAAACATTGGTTTGATAGACCTGTGCAGGATGGTGGCATGAATATTATTTAGTTTCAGCAATGGCGATGGCTTACGGAGACCTTTATCATCATCATTAGCCATTCATCACGGCTGAGGGTGATGATAGTGACTTGCATGGCTTGTTTATTTGAATGATACTATATACAGCATCACTGTGTGGCAAATAGAACATGTTATACCGTTACATAACAAAAGACAGATGTTCACAACTAATTCCAACATCACAGAAATGAGAATGTATCTATCTATCTGTGTGTCGCATAAATTAAACTGAAGGCAGACTTTAAAGTGGTGTGCATGGGTCGGGTTTAAGAACCACACGAATAGCTTCTGGTGAAGATAATCCACTTACACAGCAGGGGCACAGCCATCCATCTGCCATGGTCACGTTCGCTCGCAATGGTGACTGCCATTCCGTCCGGCAGTCTTGCGGAAATTTTCTACCCACCTACTGACTCCTGTAAATGACTCCACGATTATAAACCGAGGCAAATATCGTAACATTATAGCATGAGACCATTTCTGTTTTTTTTTACACTTTCTCGAGGAGACAGATGCATTTCTAGTGGAATTTTCTGGTTGGTGGGGCATGCCAAATGGCATGCAGAAACAATTGGCATTCTTTAGGGTGCAGGGTAAGCAATTGGCTGAGAGCACGATGAAGCAACAACGCTATAATCGTAGGCTCTTGGGGTTCATGACCATCCGTTATCTAGTGTTGAGCTGTCTTGACAAGCATCAGCTTCTGTACAGCAATGCACCACTCATTAATAATAATGATTATAAATACAAAACTAGTAATCATAATATCACCGTCAGTGAGTCTTAGGATTCCTTTTCAGGAGGGTCTAGCATTATGATAATTGGCCAATTCCATGAATGAGTGTTTGGCTTGACAGAGCAGGAAACCAAAATCAACTGAAGAAAACTCACCGTGCATGCAAAGGCGTTGCACTTAAAGCTCTGTACAGATAGATATGAGCATCTATTGCTGGTAATTTCCCATCCTAGTGATAAAAAGACCCAATCCTGCTCAACCTCTGAGATATGACGAGATTGGGGACATCCAAGGTGGTTTGGTCAGAGGCAAATAGTGGCAAAGCAAACCCTCCACTAAAATGTGGTGTACGTAAAACAGCGGAGTAAAGTACAATTCCGATTATTTGCTTTAAACAATCTTTCACTGTATTTCACCAATGCTAATTATGTTAGAGAAAAGCATGTCATTGAATTTCAATTGGTTCATTAGGCTAATGGGACGGAATGCTTTACAACCACACTCTACCCTTTGCTTCCGACTGTCCTCTCTCCTGCATCTGATCCTTCTATGCACCTTTCTTCTTTGATCCATTGATCACCCTGCATACACTATTTTTCCATAATAGTGAAAAGTGAGATGATCACAGAAGAAATGCAATTCCATATTAAAGTAGATAGTATAAGTGAGGGAACAAATAATATACTCAGCACATGCTTAATGATTCCATTCTAAAGGGTGAAGTGGCAGCACAGTGGTTGATGCGCTGTGCTACGAACCCAGTGATCTGAGTTCGATTCCTGGCCACGGGTAACATCAGAGCAGTGTGGTGAAATATGTGTGTCACTGGACACCCTGACCACCCTATTAACCAACACGTTCCATCTCGAGGCATTATCCAGGTAAATTATTACAGTTCAATAAATGCCCACAGTGTTGGAAAGCCTTTATCCAGCAGCGGATTGAGAAAGCACTGAAAATAATTATTTTAGATTTTTTGATGACAGGCAAAATTAAAGTGCATACTTCTTTCAAGCGCAAAATTATATCACGCAAAATGACACACATAGCATGAGCCTGCCTGGGTTTTCCGATTTTCTTGTGAGGTTATTGCAAAGTGTCTTTGTATTCATGCTCAAGACAACTATTTATTTACGAAAACAGCTCGTCGGACCCTTTTCAGCAGCCCTCGTTGCTCACTGATGTAACAAAACCACCGGCACACTTCTGGTGTCAAGTAGCCGGCAGACCCAATTATGAGAAGATTGGCACATCCCTTGAGACCGACCCTGACACCTCTTGTCACCTTTGCTCAAGGGCTCCAGTCAGTTCACTGTCGTGCTGCCAACTCTGGCAAGGGGCTTCCAACTTTACAGCTCTTCCTATAAAGTCCATCGTTACAATACGAACACAACCCCCCAAGCATGGATTTTCCCGCTTTTAATTGTGCCACTTTACAGCCAGGGCACGGTGGTGCCTGCCCTGGTTATTGTGCGGCGAGTGTTGTTTGTCTAAGGATGTGTAGAAAATGTTTTTGAAATTGTTAGATTGGCAACTTATGTGGCTTGCTTCTTGGAGTGTCAGGAGTTTGCTACAGTGCATAACAAAAAATTAAATGCTCCACTCGACAAAACATTCGTGACTCACTAAAAGTGAAGTGACAATATAAAGATACACATACCTGGTCGATCATCAAATTACCTGGAATTTAACCGATTTCGTCAGATCTCGGAAGCTATGCAGGTTTGAGCCTGGATCATACTTGGATGGGCGACCAACGTGTGTAACAGGTGTTATAGGCTTGCGGGCTAAGATGTGGCATCCATCGGTCATGATCTCACTTACTTTTTTAAGCAGCTATAGACTGATGTGTTTAGCCTGAATATGTTCTGTAATGCATGTGTTCCTAATTATGGATCTCAATGCACTTATAAGTATGCATCTCTTCATGCTTCCTTGTGCACTTTTCAGTTTTTGTTTAATTTTCATCGCCAATGTCCACATGTGTGATCCATGTGTCAGAGCAGGCATGACATACTGATCATAAACTTTCTTCTTGAGGAATATTGGATGTTGATTTTCAAAATCAAGTTAAAATGTTTCAAAAGTACTAAACCTCCTCTCGTTTGCCTCTTTATTTCATAATTTTGATTCCAGTCCACTTTCATTAGCTCTATATTCCAACACCAAAATATAAAGCTATTCATTTACTGATATTCACACCAGACATAAGTACAGTCCCATCTATAGGTAATCAACCACCCACCGATGTCCCAGTTGACGGGGTGGTGAGCCTTCATCTCCTGGCAGCCGATGACGAACCAGATGCAGGCCATCCAGTGAGCGAGTAGCGCAAACATGGACATGAGCATGGTGAGTACCACGGCGCTGTACTGAGAGTAGCGGTCCAGCTTCTGCAGCAACCGCAACAGGCGCAGCAGCCGCACTGTCTTCAACAGGTGCACCACCGAGGCCTAGGGACAGGACGATAGCAAGGAGACAACAACAAGGAGAGTGTCTGATGACGAAAGCCAGCAATGCAACAGTGGCCCAAAACTGGAAAGGCGATGAGTTTGCATCAATGGGAAGGTGAGGTAAATGATTCGAGGGTAGAATGTATAAGCCAAACGAAGCCAACCCTACCACTATCCCTGACCAACTAGCCAATCAGCCAATAGTACTGGGCCTTTCGTTAACTCCAACCAAAAACAACCAACCAACAAATTATGCTAGTGGAAGCCCTCACGCTGACCTTAACCCTAGCACACAAGGCCACAAATACTAGTCTTCCCAATGATGCTAAGACATTTGCCACAACTAGTAGTGCTTTCACTAACCCTAGCTCTTAACTATCCAACCAAATCCCGAGTACAAGCACTTACACTGAACTTCATCCTAACCTGATAACGAACTGACCACAAGTAGAGTACGGGACCTCCCACCAATCACCCTTCCCTTTCTGTTCACTTTGCTGGTCATGGAACAGAGAGGAACATGGAGGATGGAAGCAGCAGATCACAGCCATACTGCTTGTGTGAACAGCGAGAGACTTGATTTCGCTTTGACAGCTTGTGAATTCTGAATGAAATAGATTTGTCAATATACTTTTGTATCTTGACAAGATACTTTTGTACTTGACATTATCTAAAAAGTAATGGATGTAACATGAAATATTATATGTACACATTTATTTATTCTTTTAAATAGCAGGATATCTATTTGTGTCGTTTAAGTGGTACACCATCGTGTGCTCCAATGGATGAATTAAGTTAAATTGTAGCCATAAATCTCTGAAAATGCTCACTAAAACAACTATCGGTTACTTGTGTTGTAAATACATATGATATCTACAAAGTATAGCTTTGAGGAACAAGCTAACAAACACATTCATGATTATGTAATATTTGGCTTATGATAGAAGTAAAGTCTTAATTCATTGGTTAATGGAAAAATAAGCTTTTCCAATCCTTTGGTGGAAAAACGGGTGAATCACCTCTAACTTGTGATGATCTGCCTGTTTTTCCAACTGAAAATTGTGCATGTGCAGCCCTTTTTTTTATCAAAGCACTGCTGGAACGAGGTCCTATCCACGTCTACGCTGCCCGCCTTCGCAAAACTTGCACTGACCAGTGTGGTGAAGTATGGTCTAATAAACGCTATGATACGCACGAAGTGAGGAGGCTCCATCATGAATGCCATGAGTGGGATACTGATACGGGTGCCTTGATCAATAGAGGTGACTCCAGCGTCGCAGCGTTGACCTGGCAACACCGAGACGGACGTTCGAGTGGTCTAATAACCCCCACAATTTGCATGGTATGGAGTGGCTGTCACCATTGACAAAGGGCTGCTGTACATGCACATTATAGAATATTTCCTGTGCTGATATCTGGTGGATTTTGCCGAGGACACGAAAAGCAGCTCAGACCAAAAAATATTTTACCTGAAAAATAACCTTAAGCATAAAATTGAGGAATTGTCAGGCTAAGCACATCAAGTCTGTGCATTTTAAATAATAAATCAAATTTAACTGATGAAAATGGCACAACCACAAATCATTTTTAAAAACACTGAGGCTTTGCAATGACCTTGGTAAAATTGTATAAACCAACATGATAGTCCATGCAGGCCCCTGGTTATTAAAAGCAGCGCTGTGCATTAATCATCACGGCTTTTCTCTACGCAGTGTCCAGTGGCGTGGCTGTCGAGCGCACAGGCGGTGCAACTGCAATTGGGTCCTCGGGCCTGGGCAGCCCAGGCACCGGGCTATAGAGAGGGGGGGGTGGGGGGATGTGGATATGGGCGCCCCATTTCATTCCTTGCACCAGCGCAATTTGGCAACCAGCATCATGTGTGGGCTTCCCTGTGCTTGTGCAACTGCATTTGGTAATTGTGAAGACACCATCAAACTTCGTCTTTCATGTGCCCTGATATCACCACTCCACTCCTCATCGGCTTTGGTTATCCTCCCGAGTGTATGTTCTCCCCGGCTACAACTCCATTGCTGCATTTGTTCATTATTTCACTTTCACTCTTGCCGCATGTTCACTCCAAACGTTCCTGTTTATTCCAGAAATGTAACACTGTCCAGGATGGGATCGAGTTAACTATCTCTGGGTTTCTCTTTCTGTCCTTTTGTATTTTAAAGTGGCCGTGAATTCACGTCCATCCGGGCACTTTCCCAATTATGTTCCAGCTTTTACATTAACATCCATTTTTCTAACTCATGCAAAGAGAGATGGTAAAATGACGGGCAGAATTTATCTTTTCTTTCACAATTTGTAAAAGTGAAGATTTGCCTTCTCATTGTACATGTACAGCCCTTTTTGTCAATCCACTCCTGCATCAGGGCTTCCCCATGCCACGTTGGTCAGTGCAAGTATTTCAAAGACAAGAGGCATAGACATTCGAACACAATTCAGTACAACAACTGATGTTTCCGAATGTTTGTCTGATGACAAATAAATGCATTGTGGGTGGGTGATTCACATACCACATGGGTAAAGGTGTTTTTTTTGCTCGGTTTCTTGCAGCAGAGTGGTGCTTTGACTACAGAAGATGAATAATTGATTCCGAGGTGCATCCTAGCATCATAGTTGCGAGGATGCACCCAATGACACCTGTGTTGCTGATGTGACAAGTTAAAGGCTGCGGCTTTTGCCATGGGCAATGGTTGCTCGCGTGAGAGTAAGTGGTGTTCTTGGGCAGAGCAGTACCAGTGTAGGACTTGTACTGACGCTTTCTTTGATATATCGGCATAGTTCTTTTAATCACTTCTAACACCAGTTGTAGGACTCGTACTGATGCGACAGCTTCTTGTCTTTCTCATCTCTTTTATTCACGCATATAGTTCACACCTCCTCCTCGTCATCACTCCATGCCTCTCCGTTCGCTCCAATGCACAACCCGCCATCATCATCACTCCATGTCTCTCCGTTCGCTCGCTCCGCTCCCCGACTTCGCTCGCTCTCTCTCTCTTCCCCAAGGTCCGTTACTCCGCTGCTACCCTACTCTGTACTCGCTCCGTCCACTGCTACCCTATCTGTATTCTCTCTATCCACTGCTACCGTACGCTGTATTCTCTCTATCCACTGCTACCCTACCTGTATTCTCTCTATCCACTGCTACCGTACGCTGTACTCTCTCTATCCACTGCTACCCTATCTGTATTCTCTCTGTCTACCCTTATCGTATCTATTCCTGCTCCCTGCTGCTCCGTCTCTGTCCCGGGCACCAACCACTCCAACTCCGACTCCAACACCAACCAAAAAACTCCCGTCTCTCCGTTACGCTGTGCCTTTATAGTCGAACCAATCAGCCCCAATTAATTATCTCATCCCCTGCTTCGCTACTCGTCCCCAGGCCCCCAGCCTCACGTGACCATGTTATCGCCGTCAGCCCGGCGCCAGTCATCAGCCACTCACCCTCCTGACCAATCACTGGCCTGCGTCCTCAGTTACCCTTAACACCTGTGGTGTCTCTTAATGACCTCCCCCTCAATGGCACACAACAACAACTGTATCCTCAGTTGCCCCCACTGTACGCTGCTCGCTCCCCTAGCAACAAAACGCGTGGCGCGTGACATTTCAAGTCCTACACCAGTATGGGCTCCGAGCTCTAAACTCACTACGTCCACTTCTGGGGATTGATACAAGTATTTGAGGTAGATGCAATCGCACTGTCCAAGTGTCAAGCAGGGTCTAGCCCGCTCTACCCTGCTTCTTAACCATCCAGTCGTAGGGTCTGAGTCCAGAAAATGCTAGTAAAATGTTGCATACAGTTGGCAGGCTGCAATTGTTGTAAAATCCGAGTGCCATGAGAATGAAGGAAGCAACATTCAAATGAAACATTGGAGTCTTCGTGAGATCGCAACGCTATGTGTTCTGCCTCACGGCAGGTGTCTTGCCTCATGGCAGATGTGGGGCGTGTGTACACAGGAATTTCCTGTTTTTGATGCTAAGTTTGGTCACGTTGTTGTATCCTAACCCTTCTTCCATAAGATTCCCGCTCAACCACGTGGGCGTCGGCCATTACACACATAATTCAAGATGGCGGCACACATTGCGTCCCAGTGAAGCCACCCGCAATTGTCCATTGTGGGACTTTAAGAAGCATTGTCTGTAAGTTCGTTTATGTTCTCATAATATTGGCAATGCTGTTATAATGTTAGAATGACCGTTATAATGATGTAAATGCCTTTATAATGCTGTTCAATTGTTATGATAAATACCAGGCCTAGTTAACAACGAAGCCTGCAACTTTCCTTATTGTGAATGTTACTTGTAATTTAATAAGTCGAGTCAAACTTGTACCCAAGTAACTTCATTGTGATCTGGAGAGCAAGGATGACGAAATGTCTCATTCATAGTGCAGTGTTATGTGTAGTACTGTACATCTGGGGTGCAGTGTGATGATAACACGGTGTGCCTTTATGTAACACAGTATAGCTATTCAGTGGTAATGTAGGGGCCTGGCCCATCCAGGATATATTGTTTAGAAACATGTTATCTAAGAATGTTATGATGCTGTGGTGTTCATTCATTGTGTTGGTGTTTCCGGGTATTAACAGATGATGTATCTGTGCTGTTTTTTTTACCAGTTTTACCTCGTTAAATTTAATAAATGACGTTTGGAGTCGGACGTTCATCCTGGCTCTGAGGGTTTATTGGATGCGAGGTAACTATTCACCTAGCAGTGCAATGCAGCGCACAGCGAGGCCGAGACACTATGGAAGTGGCAGTGGTTGCTAGGGATTACATCATTACTCTCACTGCACCAGCCAATCAGTTGCTTGGCAAACAACCTCCATGAAACATGGCCCCCATGCCATAATTTCTCCATGCACTTCAGCTGGTCTGTGGCTGAGGTAAGCATATTCACGTTATTAATGTTGATTATATCCATCATTAATGCAAATATTCACATTATTAATATAGTTACGTAAATTGTATTATATTATTAATTATCGGTTGACTTATTTTGAACGATTTTGATAATTGATGTACGAGTGTTGCTGACCTCACGTAGGAAAAGTAGGATATAGATAGAGTACAACAGGAAAGTTAAGGAAATGGTTATTGTAACAGTGGGTGTTCTTCTGGGAGGCTGCGTGGATTTCTTGGCTGGAAACCTGACACGGAACTCGTTGCCTGTCTAACCTGGAGCCAAGGGTGGTACCTGACCATGGTACAAATCAAGCTCAACATAACTTATCTTACGAGTTTTGACAAGACTAGGATCGTTAAATTACACAACCACACCCGGCCATCAATCACCTCGACACTACACCGCCCTGGCTCCTCCCCCCATCACACACGCTAGGGTCCCCTTGTCACCTACCACAGAGATGTTTAATGCGTAGAGGAGGTCAAAGGGCAGCGCGGCGATGAGGTCCACGAAGAACCACGTGCTGACGTAGTGGAGGCAGACGGAGCGCCCGTCGTACACCACCTGGCCCGAGCGGCTCACGTAAGTGGTTCGGAAGTTGAGCATGATGTCTGCGGACGAGGAGAACGGAGTGGTTTCAGGGGAGCAGGCGAAGCGGTGTGGGGGTCGAGGTAGTTGATGGCCAGGAGTCGTGCCAGGGATTTGGGGAGGGGAGGGTGAGACATGAGGGACATACAGAGACACAGTAGTACCAGACCATGACCATCCATATACGAGACTTCCAAAATATTATGTCTACCTGGAATCTTAATCCACTTTGCTCTAAATGCCCTCTTAGTTATGCTGCAGTGTGGAACAAGAAAAAAGGCTGTGCAAACGTACACTGACCTTATCCAGTAGAAGGTTTCAATTGAGCTTAGTAGCAGTACAGTATTTGTAAAAAATAAAGTTTAAACACAATTTGTAAAAGTAAGATAATTTAAGTGACAAACCCGTATGAACTTGCACACTTCTGTGGTGCTTATAGCACTGCCTCGCTACCAGAGGTTGGCCACCGAGTCCATAGGAGCCCCGTAATACTTTTGGTTGTAAAATGGAAAGTGGAACGATGGACAAATTATCTTTCAATAACACATCAGTGTAATGAGTATTTGAAATATATTACAATGCAGCCATCCACCAATGGGGGTCTCTAGCGAGCAATCAGAATCAACCAATGGTTAGATTCCATTAAAAGTTTTTTGTCCATTCACCAGGTCTTCTTTCGTATGGATTAATAGCAGCAGATTAAAGATGTAATTTTAGATTTGTCATCCACTCAATTACTATACTCTTTGGTTCTTTCGGTAAAGTCACGTAGCTAGAAATAAAATAAATCACGACGTTTCGATCGCAACACAAGCAATCTCCATCAGGTGGAACAACCACAGCAACAAAAATGCTGAAGTAGGCGAGAGAGCTGCCATGGCAAGAGGTTACATAGGTAAGAAAGGGGAGGCAAGGGGGGACAGAGAGGGGGGGTGTGGGGCAGGGGAAAGGGGCTGCGTGAGCGCTAGGGGGAGAAAAATTGAGGCGGGGGGGGGGGGGTGGAGAAGTGGGCGGGGCTAGAAGTGGGAGAGAGGGGGGGGTTGTGGGGCAGGGGAAGGGGGGCTGCGTGAGCGCTAGGGGGAGAAGAGGTGAGGCGGGGGGGGGGGAAGTGGGCGAGGCTAGAAGTGGGAGAGAGAGGGGGGGGGAAGGAAAAGGGGGGGCTGCGTGAGCACTATGGGGAGAAGTGAGGCTGGGGGGGGGGGGGGGGGGAAGTGGGCGGGCCTAGAAGTGGGAAACTAAGTGTGGGACACGGGGGGGGGATAGTAACTCGGAAAAATCTACTAGTAAACGGCAGGTAGGATAGAAACAACCACAACCAGTTAAGGCTTTACCTGGTTAATAACATCCTTCCTAATATGTATCCATCTTCTCAGTTGAAGTTATGTCTGTTTATATATCTGGATGGCTTCATGAACAAACCTTTGATAGTTGCCCGAAGGTTTGCAGAGTACCTTGGTCTCAGAAAAAACAATATCATGCGAGCCCACAGCGTTATAACAATGGTCAGCCACGGCAGAGGTATTGGTTCTGCCGTGTTTCAGATCTGCCTTGTGTTCGCGGACATGGTCCGAGACATGTCGTTTCGTTTCCCCGATGTAACTGCTGCCGCAGATACAACTAGGTTTGTAAATTCCAGGATATTGCATCTCAGGAATGACATCATTCACAGATGAGATTAGAACACGGATTTTGTGTACTGTATTGAATCGGACCTGGATCTTGTGTTTAAGATTTTGGAAATATTTTTGGTAACACCTGCTATGTATGGTAAAGTGATGGTTTTGATTTGCTTCTCATGAGATTGTTTCTCCATGGTTGGAGAAACAGCTTGGCAAATAATGCGGTCTGAGTACCCATTGATCTTGAGGGCTTGGTGTACATGTTCCAGTTCACTGGCTAGGTGGTGTTGGTCAGGAAATGCAGTGCGCCCTATGGTGTAGTGTTTTGATGAGGGAATTCTTTTGTGCCGGATGGTGGTGGAAATCAGGTTTTAGATAGGAATCTGTGTGGGTGGCTTTCCTATAGACAGTGTCCCCACGAGCCATCAGGTCTCTTCTAAAACAAAACATTCAGGAATGGTAGCTTACCATCCTGTATGAGGTTAACAACAACCTTGCAAGTAGGAAAACAAACATTTCTGCAGATTATTCTGGTGTATTTTATCCTTGTGTAGTGAACGACTTCCGAGACACAATGTGTAGAGGGCTTCTTATTTATTTCTCACACTTCAGGCAAATCACTGGGCGAAATATATATATGTACATGGCTACGCATAGCTGACCCATCTACACAGCCCCATCGTCGGCGTCTAACTATATAGTTGGCTGACTAATATAGCAATGACAACATTCGGAGCCGTCCCAGAGAATCGGCCATGCGGCCGGAAGATGAAGAGAGAGATGATGGCGAAGACAGCGACAGCAGCTAAGACCCGGGACTTCACGACAGCCCCGAACCTTCGGTCACATACCCCTTATATACTTCCCGGCGTGGGCAGGCCACGCCTCCTTCTAGAACCTTCGTGCAGGTTCCCAGAACTTCCCGACTGACCCCGCCTTTTACCTTTAACCCAGTTACGCCCCCCTTCTAGTTGGTTATTATATAACGCACCCATACTCGTGATTACCCCTCCTGGTCAGCAGATGGCACCATGTCATTACACTTGTATCATTTTTCTTCTCACTTTTAACCAGGATAACAAACAAACATTTTGCAATAAAGCTATGGTGGTATAATGATAAATCCTGTCTTTTGCCTTTTCTCTGTGTAGGGGTGTTACGGAGGGGCTGTATGCATAGGATCACACGGGAAACAAACACAGTGGGCGGGGCTCCGTGAGTGCACAGGGGAGGTGCTCGCAACGACGTCCGCACCGGGCAGCCTGGGGGGTTGGCCCGGAGTTGTGATCCCCCGGGGGGCCCCACCCCTCAGCAGGGGGTTGTGGTATAAAAGGGGATGAGCCGGAGAGCTCGGGGTACAATGTTAAAGCTAAACCAGTGAAGACCGAAGACCGTCTAGCTAGAGCCCTGGACTCCCCTGGGACGCCGCCCTTGTCAGGGCCGCGCAGGACCGAGCCAGCGGCGTGGTCCCGAGAACCAGAGCTAGTGCTCTGGGACTCCGGGTACCGTAGCCCGACTTACCAGTGTCGGGCCAGTCAGCCTCCCCTAGCCCGTTAGTGGAGGACTAGGAGGTAGGTCAGAGATAGCTAGCAGTGTTTTCCCAGCTAGCCGGGTGAGGGGGCCGATACCCCCTCCAGTATTGTATGTCCGCAGTTGTGACAACTGTTGCGGAATAAATACGTGTGCCTCAACCCCGGGTGTCCAAGAGTCCTCAACGGTATTACATCTGGTGACAGAAGTGAACGACCACGAACATGGACACGCGTCGGACAGCTCGAGCCGGGGTACCGGAGGCGGAGGACACCGCTGAAATTGTGGAGCCAGAGACGGCTGAAGAAGGCATCGAGCAGCCGGGGCCGGACGCATCCTTACCGCGGCATCGGGATGAAGGGGAGTCGGCATCAGAAGGACTGAGGCTGGCTCACGCGAGGCTGGCGGAGCTGCTGTACGCTGCTGCCGCCACGCTCGAAAACATCACACGGCTGGGCGCTGGTGGACCGCCACGGGGCGAGGATAGCCGACGACCGGTGCGCCTTCCCGCCATTTCAACGGACTCCAACTTTGAATCTCCCGCCATCGCCGCAGCAGCTGCTGAGGGCGTGGCCGGCCTGAACCTCGGGTCCGACATCGGCCTCACAGGCGCTGCCGCGTCATCACCAGCGGACGGAGCGTCACCACTGGTGCGACCGGCGATGCCATCCGTCGTTCGCGCCGAGGCGCAGACGAGTTACGGGGACAGCAAAGTGCGAGCTTCCACGGCAACCGCTGCGCTGCACCTCCGCTCAAAGAGTTTGTGGGCGAGGAGGGCGACTGGGGTGGCTTCCAGCGGCGCTTCCTCGCGCACCAGGAAATGGCGCAGTGGTCGGATGCCGAGGCTCTCTGCGCGCTGCCGGCGCTCCTCGACAGCGACGCCCTCGCCGCTCTTACATCGGCGCCGAAGGAAAAACGCTCCACGCTACAGATGGCGCTGCAGTTGCTGGCTGCGGTCTACGGACCTTCATCGGAATGCAGGCAGCGTTTTTATGATCGCCAGCGGGGTGCAAAGGAGTTGCCCCTCGCGTACCGTATGAGTCTCCTGGCACTGGCGAAGACGGCCTTCCCTCGAATGGACGACGAAGGCGTGGACGCGATGGTAACAGAAAAGATCCTCCTGCTGGCGGACGACCTGGACATCGCCGTCGTTGCACAGGAGGACACAGAAATGGGTTCCCTCCAGGTGGCGCGGCTCCTCCACGCCAACCTGCTGTCGCAGCGACGGAAGGCCAGCAGGGCAGCGGCCGGGCGTACGGTGGCTGCAGCCACCCTCCCGGCGGAGGAGGTTTACGCCATCGACCATCGACAACAGCAGAGGGCGGGAGTACGGGCGGGCCGGGATGGATCGAGCCGCTCCGACCGTCCGTCATCGCCGCCTGCGCTCCCGCGCTGTTACAACTGCGGCATCCGGGGCCATGTCGCCTCGGGGTGCCGCTCTCCTCGGCAGCGCGGGACGACGCCTCGACAGGACGCCGGCCCTCCTCCTCCCAAGCTCCATCAACATAACCCGGCGAGTCGCGGCACCCCTCATGTTTGGCCCAAGCACACACCCATCACACACCGCAACGAACGGGGGGCCGACATTACGCACCGTCGGGCCAACACGCACCACTATGGGGACTCAAATCGAACCCAGGCAGTGGTCCATGTTGGCCCATCGCGTTGTGGCTGCGTCGTCGGGGTCGTCAGCCGTGGTAGGGCACATTGACGGGGTTGAGGTGCGCATCCTGGTCGATACAGGAGCATCGGCGACCATCATTTCGGAACTTATTTACAATATTCTCCCTGTCCAGAGCCGTCCTTTACTGCCGGTTAACGTCCCATTCTATGCTGATAACGGGGGCTCACTTGGCATCATTGGACAAATTCGA